TTTTTTAGTGCAGTCCTGTTGAATTATTTAACAGTTTTATTGATTTTGTTCTTTCTTTTTGTTACCATTGCATCTTTAGCTGGGCCTGTGCCTGCTCATAAGAGCCATTGATAGTGTACTTGTCATTTTACCTGTGGAGATACACTCGCCCGGTGGAATAGGAAGGTCATTGAGCCGCTTGCCCTTCATGTCACTGGGGCCTGCGCAGAAGACATCTGATACTGTGGCATTTGTGTTTTTCAGCCACATCATCAGCCACTTGTTCTCACAAATACACTGGAAAGAGTTGCCTCTCAGATCCCTAATGTATTACATGACAAAATCAGTCTGGGTACATTTACTGAACCATACAATATGTTTTATATTCACAAGAGGAAAAGATTGAGATGCCTCAAAGGCTCAAGACATTGTAGTGAGTCATTTAAAATGGTCTTGTATGTGACAAAACTAAGTAAAATGCTAACGTATAATCTACTTCATGATAGTCCAAATAATAATGTTGCAGGATAAAAACATTGCATCCTTCCAAACTCAACTTTTCAGGAACAAGAATTCACAGTAATTGGTTTAGCTTGATGAAGTTTTATATGACACTGGGTAACTGTTTGATACATACGTGAACCATTTCAGCTACAGTTTAAAACAAATAGGTTTGTTCACCGACAAGCATTTTTGCATCTTTGTAAGAACAATTTTTTACTCAAATGTATTTTAAAAGATGATTAAAAAGAAGCTACAAATGAAAGCCAACCTGAAACTGTAATGCACTATACAGGAGAACAGAGACAGAAAATCCAAATTTGAGCATTCCATATAATTCTTGTGGAGTTTAATGCTGCTAAACACACAACACAGCCTGAGTCAGCTTCACTTAGGAGCGCAGTATGGAAAAAGACAACACACACACACACTGCTGACACCACAACTGCTTACTCACAGTTCCAGCAATGAATCCAAGTCAAAAAACAGATCCCTTGGCAGAAACCTCATCTTGTTATTGGCAAGCGATCTAAACCAGAAACGCAGCGAGACCAGAAAAATGTTCATTGTTGTAATTGTGTCAGTCGTTCTCTGTTACAGGAAAGTGTTATTGCTGTAGATGCTGCATGGGTGGTTAAGAGAATAACAAGAGACTTACAGATGAGTCAAATCTCGCAGACCACGAAAGGCATTTTTGGTAATCATTTCAATCTTGTTCCCTTCAATGAATCTGTTCACCTCATCAAAACAGACGTTTATCAAAGCAAAGTCATGTATTATATCATGCCATATTGATAAATCTGCAAATGTCAATACACATGTCAGAATATTACAGAGGGGTAATTTATAGGGTTTTGGAGATTGAGGGGTGGGGCCGAAGGAGGAGAAATAATCTGCAGATGTATTTACACCATGATGTAATACAGTCCTTCACCATAATCATCAATTATTATGTGGTATATTCAAGTTAACTGTTATGCATCTATAAAATCACAAAAACAGTCGTTTGACATGGAACAGGAAGTTTATCAATTAGTACTCACAAATATTCGAGATGTGGAAGGCCAGAGAACGCATCATCTTTGATTGTTGTCAAAGAATTTGCATTTAGGAGTCTGCAGAGGAAAAAAAAAAAACACCCAAGCAAAAATAATTAATAATGAACAATTATTAATTATTAATCTGTCTACTTTTTTTTTGTGTGTGTGTGTTGCACTGTTTGTAAAATTAGCCTAAAATGTAAATTGCTGATCAATGAATACATTTTAGTTCCACGTGAAAAAATAGCACTTACAACAGCTGGAGAGAAGGCATCAGTGAAAACATCCCTTCTGTGATTTCAGAAATAGATCCATTTACCATGCTCCTGTTGAAAGAAAACGCATACACAACAAAGTCGTAGTGAACAATCAGTGCCAGACACACCAGCAGCCAACTCTGCAGGGAAGCACCGAGTAGCAAGCAAATTGTCTCCTTGAACGCAACATTGATTGCCTCGTGCTTTACTGTAGAAATAATCCACAAATACGACGTGTTACTCACAGTGAGTTGATCTCATTGGGTATAGTCCGTGGGATCTGTAAAGTATTGACGCAAATGATGGTCTCCTTGGTGCAGGAGCATCCTGAAGGACATTTGAAATTCCTTTTACATTCAACTGCTCCATAAACACACAGAATCGCAAAACTGGCCAGTAGCCACCGCTGAGTAGATGTCATGTTGCTTCTTGAATGTTAATAATAGTAAATGAGGCTGTGGTTGGTGCTAGCAGCAGCTTTAACCCGCCTGGGCGACATCAAAATGCTGCAGTAGTGGAAAGTCCTGACACAGACTGATACGGCTGCTGCTGCGTCCCGGAAGGCTGTTTCGGTTTCAGACAGTGTGTTTGGGGGGGGGGTAGGGAGTCGTAAGTCATCACAATGGTTGCCTAATTAGGTTGCCTAATTAGTGGAAAAATAATTACTTTAACATTTTGAGTTTCTATATATTTCGTTGTTAAATGAATACATGTCATGAAACATATTTTTGATAATAAAGAAGGGGACATCAATACACCACCAGAAGCGATACTAAAGCACACAAATGCAATATACTGATTATTTCAGCACCATGGAGAGCAATAACACATTTTACACGCAGACTTTATCACGTGAGACATTATGCATACCAGATTATTTTGACTTCATTAGTACAGAAAGTCCCATAAAGAGGAAAATGCATTAATGCAGACTGTAGACAATAGATTACATACAAATCATGTTCTCTAATGCATGTGCCCAAAAACGTATCAAATAATGTCCTCTAAACTGTACAGTTATTAGTTTTCCAGCTCATTTTGATTGGGATAGACATAACCAAGAGCTCTACACTGTAGCAACTGCTGCAAATTCACACACATGCTGTTACGTCATCGTACCACTAGAGGGTAGCTGTCGATCACCAAACTCCAAGTCTGAAAAAGTTACAGATGTGTTAACAAAGGGGGAAAGTAATCAGCTGTCTTTGATAGTTTTTACTTTTTATTCTATTGTATCAGTTGGAATTATTTTGAATTATATTTGATTGATTTTCTTCATGCCCAACCCTCACCAAGAGACCAAAAATACAGTTGCAGTGGTCGAACATTTCATAACATTTCATTACGGTCTTAAATATTCTGCCTTCTCTCCCAACCTTGGCAAATAAAATTTGCTACAAAACAAGGTTCCCTCCCGAAGCACAACTCAAGTTCAATAGTCATCCAGTAAAAAGAAGACATGAATAGTGGTCATTTTACAAAAAAATTAAAAAAAAAACAAGGATTTCAACTCATACAAAACGTTTCTAATGTATTAGATTGATGTCAATAAAGTATGGAAATTACAAAACAATAAATAATAAAGGTTTCATATTGAATCTTGTAAAAGAAAATTATGAAGACACAGTGGGATACACTTTGTTTCACTTGATACTTTGTGGTTTTGCAATCCACAATTATGACCCTTATGTGATACAATTAACTACATTATCTTTGAAAGCCACATAGTACCATTATTCATAGAAATAAGTATTTACTACACAATAGGGTTGTTGTTGCAGCAGGCCCTAACAAGGTGCTGACCTTTGCTGGAGGACCAGTAGTTTATTAGCATGAGTGAAACCAAATACCCATCGCCAGAAGGGGGCAACCGTACATGTCTGCCATTGCTGGCATTGCTCATGACAGCTCTGCATCTAGCATTGCCGTTTTTAGGCGAGAGTATCCGTGAAACACTCAGGACACGTGCAAGCTGAAACCAGAGGACGCTAAAGCTCTTTGCTATTTCTTTCTAAACAACCATCACTGTAATATTGCATTTTGCTCATGTTCTGGATGTCTGTGATACTTAATGAACTTGGTTTTGTGTCAGATGAAACAGGACTCCTTGTAATGAAACATTTTTAATAAATGTAACAAGTGCTCCTACTGTAATATCTCTGGCATATTTTCCTGAAGTTGTAAAACAAACAAAGGAATCCGACAGAAAAGACTACACACACATCCACACTCGAGGATCGAACCATTGCTTTTTTTTGTCGTGTTTAACCTGTCATGTCACCCAATTAAGTTTAAATAAATTAAGTTATTAAGTTTTGTCTTGTCTCACATGTCCTGTCTTCACTGACAAAAAAATAACCTGCTTGATTTACTAAATGTAGGCAAAGATTTTGCATCATAGCATCATGTAGATCAAGTAAGACTAGTCTTTGTATAAACTAATTCATTTTTTGCAGGTGAAAAATTAATTTTCAGGTCAATCTAGTTGTTTCACCATAGGGACTTGTAGCATTACTGTTGTTTAGGTGTTAATGCAGGTGTATGAACCAATATCCCTTTAACAGACACAAGCCCACGCTTACTCTCACACACACACATTTTCTTTCATTTGTTTTCTAAAGTATTGTTATTATTACATATCATATCTTGTAAAAAATACTTTGTTAACCATATTATGTTGTCATATTTTTGTATATTAATTTTGTGTTCTCTATAATTTTGTCAAATTATAATAAGGTGGAGGCTTAAAATAAGCCAAGTTCTCTTCCTGTAATATTATTTATCTCTGTTAAGTTTGAGTATTTTTTAAATTGTGCAAAATAAACTAAACTAAAAAACTAAACAAAACATTGTTTATCATTTCGGTGGTGTAGGCTCTCTTCACCTTAACCTTGATTTTGGCTGAACAAAATGATCTCATCCAGTGGTCTACAACTTTAATCGTCAACGAGTCAGACGTAATGTGTTCCAACGCACGCAACACTCATGGTGTTACTTACTTCCTACATGCTCCTACTACTTCACAATAGTATTGGAAAAGAGTAAATAAAAACTAAATCATTGTCCGTTGTTTGGGTGATACCGAAGAATATTGACTGGGTTTTGTAAACATATCTTATTTAGGAAAAACTGCACAATTTCTTGGGTTTTGAACAAATGCAGATTAACTTCAAACTAGATACTTTCCTTTAGATACAAATACATTTTTTTGTATTGCTAATATCACAGATTCAATTATACTACATTTTTGGCAGCTTTTTACAGTGTTCACAAAATAAATAAATAAGAATATAAAATAGTAAAAAAGTAAATATTGATATATTACCATTTGGTCTGTTAGTACAATACTCAGATTTAATGGTATTATTAGCAGTTGCATTTGCAGTTACTTTAAATTTAGCTACAGCACACATGTAGGATTTATATTGACTTTGATGCCATCCGATGGTCGTTTTGTGATTTATTTTGGTTTATCTGAATAAAATTGACTTTACTTAACATGAAACAATATTGCTCTAACATATTGGTATGAATGGGTTGCTTCTTCCAATTTGTGATATTTACAAATTGGTAAACACTGATCACAGTGATCATTTATCCTCCTTAAGTGAATTGTCATCATCCGAGGTTTAGGGTAACGCTCTAATCCCTGACATCCAGTAAACTAGCTCACATATGACACTTTCAAATCCAAAGATGACCTTTCACCCTTTGAACCATGAAACCTTTGAGGGTTGGGAGGGGAACCCTGGAGAAGTGCGCTGTCTGGCTGCTGGTGACTGCTTCACAGCAGGTGTTCAAGCTCTCAAACTTCTCCAGTTCCCACTCAGAAGCTGCAGAAGGCTCAGGAGTCGATAGAGAGTCACCAGCATTGCTAGCATGATCAGCAGGAAACACAAACATATCATACTAGGATTATGCATATTCAACAAGTCTGTGTTCACAATATATTACAAAATCAAGAGAAAGCCATCATAATAAAAATGTTTTTCTACTTGTTGTAAGGAAGCAACAATAATGAATCAACTATATATATATATATTCAGATATATTTTAGCTTGTTCCAAATCCTCTTTGAAGCTATGATGTTTACATCGAGTGAAATCTTCAAACTGAAGATAAACTCATGATTTGTATGGCTACACCATTTCATCAAATGGAAATATTATCCACGTTCGTGTGTCATGTTAGAATTAAAAATAGAGTTTTGTGGGTTTGAACAGACCGGTGATTCATTTACAGATTTTGTTTTCCTTATTTAAAAAGATCTTTAGATGGCTTTTACTTTCTAGGAGACAGGGTTGTGTATTCCATCTCCTACTTTAACATTTACAGTTTCCATTTTGTGATTCATTTAATTTAAAGAGGTCTGGTCAGCTAACTTTTTTAGAATTAAACACCGTACAAGTCCAGCCTCCACACATGCAGTTTATCAAACACTTTCAAGCAGCCCACGTAGGCCCACGTCTGCTCTGCGAGTGGATAGACAACTGTCTGACCAACACTTGTCAAACTCTGAAAATCTGTCACTCTAAAATCAACACTTGTTAACGCTGGAAGATTTGCTGTGTTCAACCTATCCTTCACACTCAAACAGTTACTTTTAGAGCAGGTACGTATTGTGTATTCTGTACCAACACCAGATGTGTTTCAGTGTGGAAGCGAGGCTTGAAATGGTCTTCACACGGACGGTTCGTGGCGTTGATAAATGGTGCTCATGATTTAACACCTGCTGTTTTAATGTAGCCACTGTAAGAAACTGATCTCAACATGCTTGCGTGACTGAGTGGTGTCCCCATTTTAAATAGCTGCCTAAATTTATCAGCTTTGTGGAGGTCAGTTCAAGCTGCATGCATGTGTTCATGTTTTGGCACAGGATTTGAAAATCAGATCTTTAATAGCTCTGAATTTGAGGACATACAGACTACACAAGCACTGTTTTACCACATGAGATTCATTATGAAAGTATATCCACTTTTATTATGTATAAAAGGTAGTACAATAATGACATGGTATTTGTGAAATTAGTTTATTTTAATTTGTTTTGTCAATATTAAAATTCCAACATTCGACTAAGAAGATTAACTGTAAACTGAATAAAAGATATATCAGTAATCAAGCACTGTGTGATTTAATAGCATTTATAGGTGTAATTTGTTGATGTGACACGTAAGCTTGAGTCATGACCTTTGCTGTTTGTCTTTGCAAAGCAGCAGAGGCACACATAAAGTCATGACAAATAAATTACCAATACACTCATGTAAAAATACTCTGTCACAAGTAAATGTCCTGGATTGAACTTGCATTTAATAAGTAAAGTATTCTTAGCTAAATGTACTAAAAATATCAACATAAAGGTCCTTTTCCCAGTGAGTGATGTATTGTTATTACTGATGCATCAATATTTAAGCAGCATTTTACTGTTGTAACTAGTTTTAACATCATATACAGTTGAGTATTTTAGTCCAGCGGTTCCCGATCTATGAGTTGAGCCCCTCCAAAGAGTCACAAGATGCCTCTGAGAAGTCAAGTGATGATCAAT